TTCTTCTTCTTCTTCTTCTTCTTCTTCTTCTTCTTCTTCTTCTTCTTCTTCTTCTTCTTCTTCTTCTTCTTCTTCTTCTTCTTCTTCTTCTTCTTCTTCTTCTTCTTCTTCTCCTTCTCCTTCTCCTTCTCCTTCTCCTTCTCCTTCTCCTCCTCCTTATTCTGTTAAATCCTAGCACAATTGACTTGCAATCTGAAGGTAGATGGGATAAGACACCTTGCTACAAAATTTAGAAATTTCTCTCCTGGTGCTGATAACATATTCCCTCCTCAGCTGTTGCCCTCTTGGCTTGGAACAATGCTAACCAGTGAAACGGCCGCCACATGATCAAATGGAATGGAGAAGAGAGAAAAAAAATCCTTAAAAAAGCTTAGTTTTATTATTTTTGAGAGATCAGCAGCATCTCCTCTGTTTCTTTGAAGAGACCCACACAGAGAAAAGGCAACGGTATCCATAACAAGAAACCGGAATTCTTTTAATTCTTTGCCTTCAGAGAGGCTGGACTGCAACTTCCAGATGTCCATGCTTGGATGTCTTGGGAGTTTAAGAGTGGACCTCTCCATCCTAAGAAACGTTGAGGTGGCTTAACATTACGATCAAAATTGTAGCTTGGTTTGCTTCCAGATTCGGGGATGGGTGGACTTCAAGCCAGAAGAATTCTGGGATAAAAATGGCAAAGCATTCTGGTCCAACAGTGGTCAATGAAGGATCTCAGGAAAGGCTGCAAGTGAGAATGAAACCTCAATATTCTCTAACAGCTGCCATTCATGGTTGAACATGCTAGACCTTCTAATTCGTCGCCTGAAGAGGCTGGATCCTTTTGGGATCTGAAGAGCTACAGAATGAGGTTCTTCACAACCAGTTCAAAGAAAGTTCATCTTTTTTTGGCCAGATGAGTAAAGTCCTTCACCTGACTGATGTAGAGGCTCACCTACGAAGAATGGCCCAAAGATGCTTTTTCACGAGGCAACTGGACTTTCTTGTTTTTCCTTTGAAGACCTTTCGCTTCCCATCCAAGAAGCTTCTTCAGCTCTGACTGGATGGTGGGGAAGGGAAGGATTTACACTCCTTCCAGAGTCGTTGAGGCCACCTGTTGTCGTATCCCTCCCCCCTCTGTTGAGAGAGAGCTGTTCAACTTTGACACAGACGGCCTCTTCGATATAGATGGCCCATGATACCCTGAGGACACAAGATAATCCTCCAGGTGGCCTCAACGACTCTCCAAAAGAAGGCAAATGACCAGCGGTCTGCAAGGAGTATAAATCCTTCCATTCTCCACCATCCAGTCAGAGCTGAAGAAGGTTCTTGGAGGAGGTGAAACATCTTCAAAGGGAAAACAAGGAAGTCCAGTCTACCACACAGTTCTTTCAGCAGTTCCAAGAAAGCTCCACACCCATTTGCACCACAGGTGACCCTGAGGATACATGTAAACCTCCAAATGGCCTGGAGGACTCTCTAAAAGAAGACAAATGACCAGGATTTATACTCCTTGCAGACAGCTGGTCATTTGCCTTCTTTTAGAGTCGTTGAGGCCACCTGGAGGTTTACCCATGTCCTCAGGGTCACCTGAATAGTGCAAATGTGTGCTCAGGTGAATGTGCTTCATTTGCATCACTCAGGTGACCCTGAGGACACAGATAAACCTCCAAGTGGCCTCTGGAACGAACTACCCCCCGAGATCCGGATGATTCCGGATCTCATAACCTTCCGCCGCGCCCTCAAGACATGGCTTTTTCAGCAAGCGGGACTGACCTAGGGTGAATTTTTAAATAGGGACAATTTTTAATGATTTTAAATAAGACACAGCTACAAATATTTGGCTTTTAATTGGTTTTTATAGGGAAATGTTTTGTATTGTTTTTAATATGCTGTGAGCCGCCCTGAGTCCCATGGGGGAGAAGGGCGGCATATAAGTTTAAAAATAAATAAATAAATAAATAAATAAACGACCCTCTAAAAGGATGCAAATGACCAGCTCTCTGCAAGGAGTATAAATCTTTCCGTTCCCCACCATCCAGTCAGAGCTGAAGAAGTTTCTTGGATGAGAAGCGAAATGTCTTCAAAGGGAAAACAAGGAAGTCCAGTTGCCTTGTGAAAAAAAAAAGCATCTTTGGGACAACCATCACCTGGATGACTGAGAATCTCTATAGACACCTACCAAGAATGAAGTTGGTGCTTCCCAACTTGTATTTCTGGGAACAGAGCTCTATCCAAGAAGGTCCTTAGTTTGAAGGATGGTGTGGTGATGGGTCTCAGATCTTGGCACTAAAAAAAAACAACACTGAATCTGACGAGTTGGCAGAATGGGAGTTGCTTGGGAGACGCCTTTCCCAGCAGGAAGAATCTGCAGGACTGTCCCTGAGTCAACACCAGGCTTCACTGGAGCTCTCCACGGTGCTGAAACACCAGGTCCCTTGAGTGCCCGTCACACCGAGGTAGAACTTAAGAGAGGTTGCCAACCGTTCATTAATCCTGATTGTAAAAGAAAACATCTCTGATCAAAGGCTTCAGAGCAGGATTAAGGCGAACACAGCATTCCTTCCAGGCTACTTGGTGGATTCAGCCCGTTTCCCTCAACCCGGATTCCCACATCTTCCTCCCAAAGAGCAAGGAATTGGATTACTTAACTGCCATTCTACCCAGTAGAAAATGGGTAAGTTCCAGAATACTTACTGAGAAAATGCCATAGCCCCACTTCATTTTTACCAACCACCTTTAATTTACTATCC